CCAAAAGTCCTCTGGCTCCTCCCAGTGGTCCTACTGCCTTCTGTTAAAATCTCTCCGACCCGGAGACCGAACAGCCAATCAAAAGTGAGGTTTGTCTCATGCACGAGCTGTTCTTGCCCACCCCCGTCCTTGCCCGCGCAGTGCACACGCCGCACAGCCGAGCTAGCACACTCTCGTTCAAACAGTAAGCTAGCTGAGCTAGCTGAGTGAAGCTGACCCCTCCAACAACCTACACCCTACAACCTGGATTGGCGCCTGTTCTGAAACCCAACACAGGGAAACAGAAGAAGACCCAGGAAGAAATCCAAGTTGAAAAGAAAGAATTTGATCGAGCCCAGAAAAAAACGAGGTGGATTTCACAGGAGGAAGAGGAGGAGGGAGCTCACAGATGCAGAGTTAGCCATTTCTGCTTGACAAGTTAGTATCTCTGCTTCATTCTTTTTATTTTTAATAACGTTTTAAAAAATAAAAAGCTTATAGAGCTGCTGTAGTGCTACACAAAGTTAGTGATGGTTACAGAACCACCAGTGATATTTGTTATGATATTATAAAACGTTAAATGCTAATGTTAGCAGCTAACTCGTTTARCCTCAGTAAGCTACTGTTCATATTTACCTACATATAGTTATCTTGACTTATTCTGTCGTGGATCAGAATTAAAAGCAGTTAGCTATGGTGAAATTACTATAACTGTGCACTGCCTCTGTCGAAAATAAAAGTAAATAAAATACAATGATGCCTGATCAACATTAGCACTTAGCTAATCAGGCCTGCTGTTAGCCCTGGCTGACAGAATGCATTCATGTTTGTTTTTAGTGTTATTCACATTTGATTTTTAACAACACCTCAGCATTAAAGCATGTGTTAGTTCTACAGAATATACATATGCTGTTGCTGATTACTTTTTTGTTTAGAAATATAGAAGTTGTATTAATAACTCAGCAGCTGTGGTCACTTACAAAAAAAAAAACCTAAAAAATAAAATAAATAAATAAATAACCCAGGAAAGATAATGGGTTTTTGGAACTATACTGGGTAATGTTTTTTTCACCTTCTGTCTGAATGTCATCTTTCTATAAAAGATGAAAACGTCAGTGTGACATGTTAGGAGTATATTACAAAGTTAAATGTGTGTGATTAAAAGACAACCCTGACAAATTGTTTATGTAATTGTTTTTTGTAGATGTCTGGATGTTTATTTGGCTAACAACAACAACAACCAAACTTCAGATGACCACACATCATTTCATGGTCCATTCCTGTGTTGTTGGTAACGCAGATCGGTAAGAAAATACTGTATATTGAAGGCTTTTATTGCCAAGTTCTTTTGTGTTTGTTCAGCCTCAGCAGGATTTATAATCTGTTATTAGATGTTTAGTCTGGTAGATTATCATATGTGATTCATTCTACAACCAAAAACTATATAACATTATATAGGTAAGATGGTCTAGACGTATATAAAATAAAATTCAGTATGTGATAAATGTGATGAATTAAAAATCTGGTAATGGTTTTAACTCCATTATACTGTTTAATTGTTTCAGATAAGCTGACTTTGGGGAAGGTCTGAGACGCAGTGGATTCTGGGAGACTCCTATTCAGGCTTTGTAAAATAGGTAAGTCATAAACTATTTGTGTCAAGATGAATTTTTTGGACTGCAACTGTTGTAGCTCTGATGTTAATCAGGACAATGGGAAATATTTCATGGTAAGTTTGGTGGTTTATTCAGTGCAACATATTTTAAACTAACAAACTGTGGGAGACAGAAACAAGAACCAAAGTTTGAGAACTTAAAGTGAAAAATGTTTCCTTTTATATAAAGTAAACATTTATTCAGTACTGGCTTTACAGCCAGGTTAAATAATAAATTTTGTTTTACATAAAATAAAAGTAACAGGCTGCATGATATTGGAAAAAAAAAAGGCATTGCATTTTTACATTGCATTTATATCCTCGTAGTCTTCCTCCACAGCTTGAGAATTCACAGAAAACTATTCTCCAATAAATGTTGTCATTATTGTCCCAGAGGTTTTACAACAAAAGAAAATTTTACATTTATTTTTTCATCAGTCTGATAAGAGAAACCACATCAAATCATAACCACTTGGTCAGTGGAAATGACTGCAGTGAGATAATATGCAGCTGGATTTAGGTTTGTTAATTTTATTGAAAATTCTTTACCTTATTTTCAGAAGTTTTTATTATTTATAAACACACTGATAGTGAAGCAGTGATTCTCAGTTCTAGTCATGACCCACTGTCCTGCATGTTTTAGTTTTCTAGCTTTGACAAACCTGATTTAAATTATTGGGTGATTGACAGGCTTCTGCAGAGGAGCAGTATAACTAAAACATGCAGGATACTGCGTCATAAGGACCAGTATTTAGAACCACTGCAGGAAAGGGTATTTTTCACTATCTGGAGCATCAGAAAATGTTTAATGGGGGAGATGTTTAAAATCATAAAGAAACTGTCATGTTGGAATAGAAATTAGGTTTTAGTTCATGTTTATTGAAAGACATCAACACTGATACTTATGCATTCATTTATAAACAAGTTGTATCATCATCATCACAATAATAAGCAGTTATTGCTCATCACAGGCAGGTTTTCCTGATATTTTGCTGCCAAAAAGTTTTCTTCCACCTCAGGATGTAATCCTTTGTGATCAAAATATCTAAAACATCTTCTACTTTATGCTCTTTCAACAGGTCAGAAACTGTCGCAGACACAGAGGAATGTGGAGGAATCATCTTTCAACAATAATGTATTTACCTGTGCAAATAAATAACAGATTTATTTTACCCATGTGTCAAATAAAGCATATATTTAATAATCCTGTGAAGTTAATTGTGCCTATATATCTGGTAAATCTTTAAAAACTTTTCTTTTTTACTAGACAAAGTTATTTTAGGTCCCTTCAGACATACTGGACACATTTCAGTGTATTACCACAAGAGACATAAAATAACAGTGTCTATTAAAAAAGACATGTTTTTTAGAGCATATTTTTTAAGATGTTAGTTCTTGTCTTGCATGTCTAGCACTGAGCCAGTGATTTATCATGATTCCTAATGTAAGTTTGTGTTTTTCTCTCTAAACTGCTTTGACACCTTCCACTGCCACATCTGCCTTTCTGTCCTTGACACACACGCACAGTAGTGGTAACTGGGGTAGGCCGTGGACGTCACAAGACATTATACAGACARGCTCTGGTATCATGGCTACCCAGCAACGGAGCTCAAAAGTGTGGGATCATTTTAAGAAAATGAAAGAGAAACCTGTGTAATATCTGCAAGGCAGAACCTGCCGTCCACAGCAATTATTTTTAGTTAGCATATAGCTAAAATCTAACCATGGTTATATAAAAGCAGCTGCATTCTGACGTGATAAGCTGTATGTTTTATATTCAATTAATGTATGATCCGATTAGTCGACTAATCGAAAAAAATAATCAGTGATTAATCGATTATAAAAATAATCGTTTGTGGCAGCCCTACTGCAGTACAATCACCAAAATGGGAAGAGGGAGGGATGCACCATGGCGCCACAAACTGGACCCCTCTGTCTGGGATCGAGTCCAAAAAAGCCTCAAGTCGCTCCTTCTCCCTCAATCCACTCTTCAGACTCATCTCTCTGCTTCCAGCCATCACCCACTCTACTTAACTCTCCCTCCTCCTGTACACATATGCAGGCACACATACCCAGGCACAGTTGGCAGCCCCAACCAAAACACATTCACACATCACGTTGCTCGTCGACACTCAGCTCTTTGTACGATTGGAGGTACAGGGACACACACATACACACACAAGCTGAACTTTTAGGTGAAACAGCCAGCTAGTCTCTCCTCTTGCTGGGCCCCCCACTTGCCCACAGCAAAGGCGTACAATCTAAAGGCTATATCCATGTGGAAAATAGCCCTAGTTACCAACGTACACAAATAAAAGTGAAATGCTCAATATTTCACAGGAATTTCTGTATGTATGTAATGCTGTCAGCCCAAAGGATTAAGTCTCTGAAAACAACATTTTAAGTTAATGCATACTTTTTGAAAACATTTTGGCAGCTATTTCTCAAATCAACTGGAAAGAAATGCCTCTGCTGGAGAAAAGTAAGAAAAGATTTAAGAGGTTTTATGAAAAGGAACATCACAAAGACATGTTTCAGTCTCACCTTTTCAGAAAAAGAAAAGCTTGATACATTGGTCTTTGAATAGTCTTGTGTGACAGTGAACTGGCTCTGAGTCACAGGGTTCTCTTTAAGGGCCCCTCAACCCCCCAGTTTCCCAAGTAATTTAAGAAGCAATAAGACAAAGTGCCACGTCATTGTTCACATGTCACTTAGAAGAGGAAAACTGCCATTTATGGAGGTCCAAACAAGAGAGCAGCATCTTGTAAACAAACATGTGACTGTGTGTCATGGTATTCAACTGCCCTGTGTCGCCTCTCTGCCTTTCCTTTGTAAGGGGGTGGAGGACCAGCATCCCCTTTAAATGGCTCATAAAATAAGTCACTTCCCTTTGACATTGTCCTGCTTCTCAAACTCCGTTCTCAGAGGAAGGCTGGTGGGGGAGGTGAAAACGCCTCACAGACAAAAACCAGATTAGACACCTCACCACCACCCCCACTTTCTGCCCACCATCATGTGCCACTGAACCAGACAGACCTCAAAGTGTCCCCCCCCATCCCTGCCTCGCCAGCCACCACCCTGCAGGCTTAACCAGAAGGGTCAGAGGTTAACAGCAACTCCTCTGAGAGAGGTTGTGTCCTCTGACCCCCACTGCTCACGCAAGACAGCCAGCACATCCACTACACACAGTAATTTGTGCCCCAATCACTCCAATAATAACCTCAGCAATACACATACAGAGAAACTCCCACCCCCACATACATTCACACACAACCATAATTTAGGGCTGTAAAACTCGCAGGCACATGCAAAACATATAAATAGGAACACTTAACAGTCACATCCTCCAACCCTAAATCACAACAATCTGTCTAAGATTATTTCTGTAACCACCTCCAGAATGTAACCAGAATTGTGAATGGATGAGGATGAAAGGATAAGACCCGTTGACTGTTATTAATCAGAGCCGGTCTGACCGAGAGAAGATAACCGTTCCCACACAAACACTATTAAATAATTACAGTTCCTCAAGAATTTTTAAAGCTGCTTGAAATTCCACTATACATCATCTTTCTTCTATCAAACCCAATTTATGACCTTTGTAAGGATCTAATGTAATTTTGTCACAGATTCCGTTCATCACTTTTATTGGCAGAATTTCTAGGCACAGCCAAGGTGTTGAGGGGATCCTTTTTGGTGACCTCAGGATCACATCTCTGCTTTTTGTGGATGATGTGGTCCTATTGGCTTCATCAGATCCTAATCTCCAGCTCTCACTGGAGCGGTTCGCAGCCGAGTGTGAAGCAGCCGGGATGAGGATCAGTGCCTCCAAATCTGAGACTGTGGTCTTGAGCTGGAAAAGGGTAGGGTGCCTTCTCCGGGTCAGGGAGGAGGTCCTGCTCCTAGTGGAGGAGTTTAAGTATCACGGGGTCTTGTTGTCATGGAGCGGGAGATGGACAGGCAGATTGGTGCTGCGTCTGCAGTGATATGGGAGCTCTAACGGTCCGTTGTGGTGAAGCTGGCGAAGCTCTCGGTTTACCGGTCGGTCTACGTTCCTACCCTCATCTATGGTCACGAACTTTGGGTAGTGACCGAAAGAACAAGCTTGCGGATACAAGTGGCTGAAATGAGTTTCCTCCGCAGGCTGTCTGGGCTCTCCCTTAGAGATAGGGTGAGAAGCTCAGTCATCCGGGAGGGACTCAGAGTAGAGCCGCTGCTCCTCCACGTCGAGAGGAGCCAGTTGAGGTGGTTCATCTGGTTAGGATGCCTCCTGGATGCCTCCCTGGTGAGTTGTTCCAGCATCCCTCTGGGAGGAGACCCAGAGGACGACCCAGGACAAGCTGGAGGGACTATGTCTCTCAGCTGGCCTGGGAACACCCTGGGTTTCCCTGGATGAGCTGGCCCAAGTGGCTGGGGAGAGGGAAGTCTGGGTCTCTCTGCTTAGGCTGCTGTCACCGTGACTCGACCACGAATAAGCGGAAGAAAACAGATGGACTAATCTAATTTATTTATGTTTTGATGTATAAACTATAAAAAGAGTGTAAAGAGGCTCATTAGGGTCACAACAATAACCATTTACTTGTGTCTCTCTACAGACAATACTCTAATCTCTGGTTGAGAAATTCTAAAAAACTGACAGTAACCTGTGTCACAATGTACAATTCAAGATTTAACAGATTTGAGACGGTACCATTTTAGGCTGCAGTAACTGAGTGCATCCCAGTTAGGGCTGCCACGATTAGTCAATTAGTCGACGACTAACTGATTATTAAAATAACCGATGACTAATTTCATAATAGATTAATCGTTTTTTTTTTGGTTTTTTTTGTTCTTCACTTCTCTCCAAACTGCTTTGACACCTTCCACTGCCACATCTGCCATTCTGTCCTTACATGCACAGTAGTGGTAACTGGGGTAGGCCATGGATGTCACAAGACATTATACAGGCTCTGGTATCATGGCTACCTGACAACGGAGCTCAAAACTGTGGGATCATTTTAAGAAAATGAAAGAGAAACCTGTGTAATATCTGCAGAGCAGAACTTGCCTTCCACAGCAAATATTTTTAGTTAGCATATAGCTAAAATCTAACCATGGTTATACAATAGCAGCTGCATTCTGGCGCGATAAGCTGTATGTTTTATATTCAATTAATGTATGATCCGATTAGTCGACTAATCGAATAAAATAATCGGTGAGTAATCAATTATAAAAATAATCGTTTGTGACAGCCCTAATCCCAGTAAGATAAACCTAAGTATCATTCTAAAAATAAATTAAATTTATGTGCTGACATGAATGCCCCTTATTGTTTTATTTAGACAGTAACTAGAGAGGGATGAGAATGAGGAAAAAAAGGTATAAACGTGCTGAGAAGATGACATCAGTTGCAGCAACAGTCATGCTGCACAACTTTCCCAGAAAACTTCTGATACCGCTTGATATTTGTTGCAGGCTATCTTTGGTCCTAAAAGCGATGAATCAGCTGTGGTTATCTCGTCACAACAGTCAGGCTTCACAACCAAAGGTTTTCTTATGATTGTGCATGATGATCCAAAACTTGTTTTTGTGTGTGTGGTGTGCAGCGGCAGAGTTGTGCTGCACTGAACTGTGCAGCATGCTGAGCAGGGTTAGCTGTCACTCATGTCATCCAGAAAGGTCATAGCTGAGCCCAGGTTAAAATGGGACTATTCTGGGCCCAGCGTGCAGGGCCACTCTGTGATGGTGCAGGGGTACACATTTGGTTGTTCTTTACAAAAAATTATTTAAAAATCTCAATAAAAATGTAATAAGTATATTGTCCTGTACAAAGTTTACTACATACAAGTGTTCTGTTAGCCAGGTTGACAGTTTGTTCTCCTCATCCTCTTCTTTGTCATCAGTCTTTGAAACAGAGGCATACAGACTAAGGCTCAGGGATTAAAGCAGCAAAAAATACTAAGACTAAACTTTTTGTACACCTAGAGATTACTCAAGCATTGCCCTCCACCACAACCTAGTACCACTCATTCATGAGCTTCTTCCAGCACACAGGTCAAAGGTTTTCACATAATTAAGAATACATGACCTTAGTAAAAGTACACAGTTCAGTGTTCTCCAATGAAGTGTTGGTGTAATGAGACTACCCTGCAGCATTTAGATTTTCAAGACTGATGATATTCTGAAGAAAGAGGGATGTTTTAAACAGCTTTTCTCTAAAGTACT